AAAAAAAAAACAAAACAAAAGATGAACTCATCAACCTACCATATATCCAGCCCAATGCCAAGCTTTCAAACACACAGAGAAAAAGCAGGCATGCACCATTGCAAGCATAGTAGTCGAAAATCTGGAAGACGTACATCCCTCCCTAAGAACAAAATCAGGGAAAAATATTGGATTGGATTTGTTGCTTGTGTTAGTCAATGTCATTGATTAGTCTGTTATACAAGCTGTACACTGACTACTTCACATTTCAGAAAATTGTAATGATATCAACGTCATCCCAAGAAAAACTGTCGTAAAATATTTTCCAAAATGTGAGGAATTAACTCCCTTTCAGCTACTGTACACCGGAGTAATAAGTGTGGTGAAAAGTTATCCAAATGCTCAGGGACTTTAAATGAAGTGTTCTTTGACAGCACAATCAGAGTGATAGCGTGTGTAAGTCAATATTCTGACCTCTGTCATCATGAGGAGCTGTGACAAGAAACATGTCAGACAGAAGAGCAAGAGGAAACCTTTACGCCTGCCCGACCGACGCATCACTGTGGGAAATACGTCGGTGACAGATGTCATCACCACCTCCATGCCGACAAACTGCAAAGAGAACCCAGCCGCAAGGTCACTTACGAGAATAAAATGTAATTGCGCGTCCGCTATAGTAGGTGGCAGTGTCGCTCTCCCTGTCAGAGTTGCATTGGGAGTATTCGCTCTTCTGCAGAGAATTACCCACAACAATTTTATAGCCGCTCTGTATAGTAGTGAGTTGGGGGGGCGTGAAATATTTTCTTTTTCCCGGTGAGACATAACAAAAATTAATGGAGAAGCGTTTGCTGAGTGTGAAATCGCTCTATGTGCCCTGCGATTGGCTGGCAACAGGTTCAGGGTGTCCCCCGCCTACTGCCCGAAGACAGTTGGGATAGGCTCCAGCACCCTCCCACCCACTTCAACGACGCATCACTGTGGGAAATACGTCGGTGACAGATGTCATCACCACCTCCATGCCGACAAACTGCAAAGAGAACCCAGCCGCAAGGTCACTTACGAGAATAAAATGTAATTGCGCGTCCGCTATAGTAGGTGGCAGTGTCGCTCTCCCTGTCAGAGTTGCATTGGGAGTATTCGCTCTTCTGCAGAGAATTACCCACAACAATTTTATAGACGCTCTGTATAGTAGTGAGTTGGGGTGGCGTTAATTATTTTCTTTCTCTCGGTGAGACATAACAAAAATTAATGGAGAAGCATTTGCTGAGTGTGAAATCGCTCTATGTGCCCTGCGATTGGCTGGCAACAGGTTCAGGGTGTCCCCCGCCTACTGCCCGAAGACAGTTGGGATAGGCTCCAGCACCCTCCCACCCACTTCAACTAAATGAAGTGACGTTGTATAATTTCTCCCTTGCCTAACCTGTGTGTCCAGGCCTAGGAGGATAATCATGACCACGCTTGAGGCAGCGGCATCATGGCCACCGCCTGAGGGTACGCGATGAACGCCAAGCCCGGGCCTGGAAACAACATCCACATTCACCTCCAACATTTAGTAATCACAGTGGTGCCTTGAGAGATGAGTTCAATTTGTCTCTCAAATGCTTTTCCTCACTGAAATAAATGTAATTCATCTGTTCCAAAAAAAATAAAATTGTGTGGTTGTTTTTTTTAATCAGAAAAAAAATCTAGCAACCGATTTGTGGTACTACCTGAGACATTTTTTTGTTTTCCTTTCTCTTCTTTTTCATAGCGTGGCACTTAATGCTTTTCCTCACTGAAATAAATGTAATTCATCTTTTCCAAAAAAAATAAAATTGTGTTGTTTTTTTTTTTACTCAGAAAAAAAATCTAGCAACCTATTTGTGGTACTGTCTGAGATATTTTTTTTTTTCCTTTCTCTTCTTTTTCATAGCGTGGCGCTTATGAGGATTTCAAGTTTACCTGACTCGGCCACCTCTGCGATCGGAACCCCTTGCTTGTGAGCCATGAATCCCAGGACCGAGAAGACAGCAAAGCCAGCTACCACACTGGTACAACTGTTCAGCAAACACAGCCAGAAGCAGTCCCTGCAACACACGAATACACTTATCTTCTGACCATCTCGGGTTCAAACTTTTGAGCGGCTACAGCTCTTTGCTACAGTGCTGCAGTGTTGTATTTAGTCTTAATTCAGTTATCCACAGTAGGGGTCCCCAAGTCCAGTCTTCGAGAGCCCCTATCCACCCTGTTTTACATGTGTCCCTCCTCCAACACACCTGATTCAAATCATCAGAATTGTTATCCGATTTCTGCAAAGGTGATTCCAATGAGCTAATGAGTTCATATACTGTTCTATAAAAGACAGCATTTTTCTTTCACCTCTTGTGTTAGATCCCATTGGCGAGTCCAGGTTTACCGATGTGACCGTTGAATGTGTGCATTGTATTTTCTCGGTCCATTGTGACACTTACTTGTAGCAATTGTTGCTGCGGGGGTTGTAGCTGCCCAGTACAATCAGGTTGCCCCCACCAATGCTGTATGAGAAGAAGACCTGCGAACCGGCATCCATCCACACCTGTTTAAAAAGACGCCCACTCATTGTTGTGCACTCCAATTCATCAGAGTGCAGGTACAGGTAACACAGTTCTACTTGAGGGTCTGTGAGTCGCGACGGATCGGGCAGAAGGTAGAACTCGACTCCTTGTTTGGCTCCCGGAAGAGTGAGTCCACGGATCAAAAGAATGAGGAGCGTCACATAAGGGAACGTAGCAGTGAAATACACCACCTGTTTGAAAGTAGGGTCACAAGGTTGTCAAAGACTTTCAGTGACATTGGTTTTGTTAGTAATCGGTGAACTTTAATGGACTTTACCTTTCCAGTTGATTTGACCCCTTTCCAGATGCAGAAATAACAAATGACCCACATTGTCAGGAGGCACAGAAGCACCTCCCACCTGATGTTGCCAATCTCCTCAATACCACCGGAGATATTCAACACTCGATGTCTACACAGGGCAAAAAGAAACATCCTGTATTTTATTTTATGTTGAATATGCTATTTTAGTATATTATCATTCTTACTCCCAGAATTCCATAGCTGCCGAGTTTCCTTTGGTGTGGTTGGTGAGGTTCCTTGTTGTAACAATGACACAATCAGCTGAAAGAATGACCGATAGTCACACTAAATCACATGCAAGTATATACACTATATACGGTATGTGCAATACATGCAATAATATTATACACATAAGGTCATTGATAGTGATTTGTCTTGGATTCAGGCAGTTTGGGTTCCAGTCCGACTCAGTGACAGCATGACTGTGAAAGTTAATGTTTGTATGTCTTTCTTTATGTCCCCTCTGACTGACTGGCGACCAGTCTGGGGTGTAATCTGCCTTTTGATGGAAGCCTGCTGCGATAGGATTCAGCGTCCAGTGACCCTATACATGTTAAGCAGTACTGGTGTAGAAAATAAATTAAAAGATGATACATACAGCATACATTGGAAACTATTTCCACTTAGGGGTGCATTGACTTTTGTTGCAAGCAGTTGAGATATTAATGGCTGTGTGTGGAGTTGACTTATTTTGAGGGAACAACTAAATGACACTGTTATACAAGCTGTACACTGACGACATTGTAGCAAAATGTCATTTCTTCGGCGTCACCCCATGAAAAGCTCCAATCAATAATGCCGCCTATGTTGTGTGCTAGACCTCACCTGTGTTCCAGTAGTTGTCGCAGGTGCTCCAGGGCAGTGGAGAGATGAAGGAGAACGCAAGGTAGAAAAGAGCCCAGGCCAGGATAATAGTGTATGACATGCAGCCGTATATCTGGGTCAGCAGCCCCCCATAGCCGATACCTGACGTGCATGACACATTTGAGGTTCAAGGACTCTTTTTTTTTTTTTTTTAGCCTCCATAAGGAGCCATTTTTCCTGGAGCAAAGTATCAAAACTGAATGACAACAGATGACAAAATGATGAATCAATATTTTATGATAGCCATGAGTCTATTTAGTAACTTCCCTTTTTTGTTTTGATTTCAAGAGCACATACTGTGAATGTTTGACTTACAACCACGGCAAAGCATTTGTTACTATATGTGGGTTATAGTTGGTGGCGATTGATTATTTCCCGAAGTGTTTGGATCTTGATGAAACATTCAACTGTCCTAACCGATGAAAAAAGGTACTGATGGGTCCTTCCTGCTATGCGTTTCTGAATGGCAGGCTAGCATACGACACACCTTCAGCCACTGGACAAAGCTTCTTCCAGCAAGTGATACCACCCTCCTGAGTGTGCTGGCCCACAAAGGTCTCCAAAAGGAAGAGCGGTACACCGCACGTGAATGCAAACACCAGGTACGGCACCAGGAATGCACCTGAATGTTACACACACTTTTGTGATATGCACAACTTCTGTAAAAAGCACTGATCGCCACATTTGCTTACCACCGCCATTTTTGTAGCACAAGTACGGAAACCTCCACACGTTGCCCAGGCCCACAATGTTCCCGGCAACGGCCAGAAGAAACTCTACCTTACTCCCCCAGTGTCCTCTCTCGTCAACTGCATCTTGGCCAAGCTTTAAGACACGTTTTTTGTTCCACATTCCCTAAAAGCGTGACCTGAATCCTACCTTCCGTTTAGCTACTCACTCACACTGTCTGTCCAGTTGTACTTTTAATTCCATGACACTTAATGAGCAACCAAGCAAGCAGTTAATCAGTTTTGAGTATCAGTGTAAATTATTTCCAGCACATGCAATTCATTGCAAAATTTCTCAGTACAGTGTATTGGGAATTCACAAAGATGATACTTGTTAATGGGAGGCCTGACACGGGAAGGCAAGGAGGCATTTTTGTAGCCTGTTAAGTGCAAAAAAACTGATTTTCAATCCCACTTATCATGAACAAGGTCGCGGGGGTTGCTGGAGCCTATCCCAGCTGACTTCAGGTGGAAGGCAGACTACACCCTGAACTGGTTACCAGTCAGCCGCAGGGCACATATAGAGACAAACAAACACTGTTGACGTCACCAGGTCCATGCATCTTGGACCTAAAACGGGCATTATTAAAGCCAAGGTAAACTGTCATAAAGCAAGCCTAACGCCAAGACTGGATATTTTTTTTTTTTTTACATTAAGGCGGAAAGTACAGACGTCATTTAAGACAGGAACTCTTACATAAGTGCCAATGTTCAGCCAATTACAGGGTCCTTTTAACCCATAAGAGCCTCACTCAGCTGCCTCTGCTGACTAGATGCAAGATGGCAGCGCTTCATGTTTCCAGCAGTGTCCCACACCAGCAGCTCAGCCTGGACCGAGCAACAGCTGGAAGTATAGTTCACCCACAGGGGCTCCGATGAGCCCAGCTCCCACCTGGACACGTTCAAAGGGGCTTCTCGCTCCACTAATGTGACCTTGTGCTGGACACGTTGGTCAAGATGAGCCTCACCCAGTTTACCCCCTGTGACCGGTGGGAATAAAGTTAAAGTCCCTTGTCCCTTGTGTAGTTGGAGAGCAGCCAGTCCGGAAAGGCCGCTGTCCGACACAGCCAGTGACATGCTCCAGGTGGACTCATTGCAAGCTGGAGAACAGGAGGACTGCAGTCGAGTGGCCGAGCATGATGGAGGAGATGTGTCTGAGTCCTGAAAGGGAGATGAGATCCAACACATCGGGGGTGGTCTAAAAAACATCCTCGGGGCCATTTGAAGCATTTATGCCTTTATCACATCTCCAGTTGGTGCCATATGCTGCCGCTCGCCCCTTAATCCTGGTTCACACAGCCGCATAATTAGGGACAGTGTAAAACGCTTAATGTAAAAAGGTGTAATGTGGCTCCATGTCAGAAAATTATGACCAATCATCAAAATTCACATGCACACTCTAATTTTGCCCACTTCAACCTCTGAAAATATCAAAATAATCATCATTTTGGATTTTATGGGCATTATTTCCTTTCTTCACTGCAGAGAAAAAGCTTAACGTGGCATAATGTTAGAAAACTACAACCGATGGCACCAAAATTCATGTGTACATCTCCACCTACGCTGTACATCAATGTCTGAAATTATCAACATGTTCGCATCCAACAGATTAGATAATACTCACAGGTGGAACCACTGTCAAGTAGGCCACCGCGTAGTTTGTGTCTGCAGAGTCGAGAGCGTACACTGAGAGTGTCAGCGTAACTGTCGCTCCGGCCTGAGCTGAGGCAGGTGTGTGAAGGCCCACCTGACTGTGGAAAGGTTTGTCGCTAGCAACATGGAACCTGATGGGAAGAATGACAAACTGCTTTGAAGTCAGCTATAATACACCCATCCATTTTCTCATTCGCTTATCCTCGCAAGAGAGGATAAGAGACCGTATCCAACTAAAAATATTTCTTCACCATGCTGATACAGTATGTATCATGCAGTTTTTAATTTACCAAACACACAGGAAGAATGACAAACTGCTTTGAAGTCAGCAAGAATACACCCATCCATTTTCTCATTCGCTTATCCTCGCGAGGGTCACGGGTGTGCTGGAGCCTATCCCGACCGTCTTAGAGCAGTATTATGTGGCAGGATGACCAGCGACAGAACAGAGACCGTATCCAACTAAAAATATTTCTTCACCATGCTGATATGTATCATGCAGTTTTTAATTTAACAAACACATTGTTTTGTTGATCAAAGTGATCATTTTTGTCACTTTATGGGCTCCAGCTCCCCCTGCGACCCTTGTGAGGATAAAGCGCATCGGGAAATGGATGGATAGTTAATGATATTTATTTGTGTGAAGACACTGATCATGTTCATAATTTATCACAATAATTTGGAAAACGCTAAATATAGAACATGTTATTTCTGTAGATCTCCGCCAATGTTTTGAAATGATATCTTCTGCAACATTCCGAGAAAATCACAATGTCCCATCACTGGTGAGCTATTTTTAGAACAGGCCTGCGGGCTACTCATGTAATGCCTGTGGGATTACCTGTTGTCCATGTCACCATGTTGGTGGCCCCTGGTCAAGAGGGGTTACCTGTGAGGTCCTTTCGTGTGGAGATATCCAGAATCATCCTCAGCTGTCAGACTGAAGAGTCTGTCCGGGCCGTGGTTCAGGATGTTGAAATCTACAGTGGTGCTGTGACCAGGTACCAGAGCGGGTGTGGAAAGGACCTAAAGAGAGAGAAAAAGGAGACAGCATAACAAGTTTCAAAGGTCCCTTGCCACTCCTATAAATAATTTAAAAATGGAAATAGCCGATGCTCTGGT